TTGCACCTTCAAAGTGTAAAATGTTACTTCAAGACTGGGTTGGTCCAGCACCCAGCCTCATTCTAACTGGAAAGTAATGGAGCACGTGGATAATTTTTGTTGTTTGGGCAGCTACATCTCACCCGGTGGACGCATCACGGATGAAGTGTCTGCTCGCATGCAGAAGGCTCGGTTGGTATTTGCCAACTTGAGACATCTGTGGCGCCGTCGCGACATCCGGCTGTCTGTTAAGGGTCGAGTGTATGCCGCGACAGTTCGGCCAGTCTTGCTATTCGGTGCAGAAACTTTGTCATTAAGAAAACAGGATAAAGACAGACTGTCGGTGTTTGAACATCGCTGTCTACGCAGCATTGCACGAATCTGTTGGGGGTAGCCGGATGAGCAATGCTGAGGTGAGGCGCAGAGTTTTGGGTATCCGCGGTCGCCCACTGGAGCAAGTGGTCAACTTTCATAGATTACGCTGGTTGGGACATTTGTTACGCATGCCACCAGATAGGTTACCACGGTGAGCGATGTTCGCCGAAGCAGACACCGGGTGGAAAAAAGTCAAGGGTGGTCAAGCTAAGACCTGGCACGAGGGTATGAAAACCCTAAACAGGAGACTGAGTCACGTACTTCCTGTTGGGCTCCCTGGCTGGGGACCTCGGGATGATCGTAACCGATGATTAGAGACACTGAGTGATATGGCTGGGTGTCGTAAACAGTGGGGTTCGTGCATCTCCTCAATTTCTTTGCAACCTTAGACCACTGAACTTCTCCATTTTCCGTTCGACTCCACTTTCGACTTTCCTTTTTTCTCCTATTCTTCATCTAAATGGGCAGCCAAAAGACAGCAACCAAAACCGGCGCACGAATATGCGTGGTTAATGGTTGTACGAACTGAACTGAACTGATTCAGGTTTATCTGTTTCCCACTTCGAAATAATCCTTATTAGATGGGTTTCAGTTTCAGTTTGTACAACCATTAATCATTTGATGAGCGGAATTCTCAGTTACGTGGTCTTGCTGTTTGATCATGATTTAGTTTAGATTTACCTACGGTCTTAATGGGTTCAGAGTGTATTTGTGCCGGACGGCAATAGAGCTGCATACTACCAAAGTTAATTGGTGATATTGGGTTCGAACTGAAACCTCTTACAAATCAGTGGTATTTGAAATCAATCGACGTCCACCGGTGAAAAACGAACTGAGACTGATAAACATTATCTACCACAGAGTGGGATAAACAAGAGCATATGAAAATAAAATCTGACATAACCAGAGATTTACGTGTGGTAAAGTGCAAACACGACTTACTTTTATACAGCTTCTCTAATCTAATCAATAGTTAGAAACAATTGTTGATACGACTAAAATCTTATCAACACTAAATCCGATGCATCCACTCACTTTCTTTGCAGATACAGCTCTCAGCCATTCACTTTTTCAATTTACTTCATTTCTTTGAACCAATGAGTAACCCAAAAGGCAGCAAAGAAGAACATTACATGACAATGCCAGATTAAAGATAGTTCAAACGAAGTTAATATCGAGTTGACCCCATTCCTATATCAGTCGGTTTGCTTTTTCAATGTTAGTGAGGCTTGAATTTTCCCGAATGACAGTCAGAACTGATTAGTCCTTAGCAGATGCCCTTGAATGAAACCTCGTAGACTTGTCGGACTGTATTATTTCCTCAATCTGATGCGCATTTCGTACACAAACTTAGGTATCAATGCAGGCGGTCCTGCACTGTGCTTGGTCGATGTTGTTGATCTGCATCTGCACGAATCCTACTCATCCGACCATAATTCCCGGGAGGAGGAGTCATTGTTATCGGGATCCAGAGCATCAAATGCATTACGGTCTGGTTTTCCGCGATCTCCGTCACCGGAAGTACGAGTGACAAGCTCAGAAGAGGGTAACTGGACCCAGCTAGTTTTGGAACCAGCTCGTCCCGTCTGTGATTCGGACGCAAACCCTCTTGTCAACTGGCCATTCCAATTCAGTACTCGCATGGAATCCACCTATCCGTATACGGCTTACTACGTTATTCATGACGCCGGATTGCATTTGGTTCGGCTACCTTGGTTACAACACGTCGCACACTGGTGTCATAAACTGTCTGAAGACCCAATAATATCTACGTCCACACCGATGTCTGATGACAGTTCCTTCGTTGGAAGTATGTACAGTTTCATTGATCTGTTGTTACTTTTTAATGTCTACCGGTGGTTATTTGGTCCATTTTGACTCGAAATCTCACTGGTATAAAGTGTTCATTCATTTTTGCTGTTCGCCGAGTTTGGCAATTTGTTTGCAAATGTTTCACCACCAGCATAGGTGACATCTTCAGTGTCTGTGGAGTATAAAGTGTGTGTGCGGAGTTCTGTTGACAATTTGACCGTTCCGTCTATTAACTCAAGCAGTATTCATTCACTCGTGGGAAAACTAGATGATGTCCAGAGCATGTTGCACCAAACGGAATGTAGGACTGTAGGAGTAATTCTACTCCAGGAAAGTTGGCTATATCCCGAAATTGGGGGCAACGTCGTGTGTCCTGATAGATTTGGCATCTTTAAAGACGATCTAAATGTGGACTTGCTTCATAGAAGTGGCGGAGTGGTTACTACTTACTCGTAAACAGAAAATGATGTATGAACGCTCATTAATTTTAACACTTCAGTACTCCTAGGATACATTGTACCTTCGTTTATTTTTTTATTCGATCTTTCATTCGGTTTCAGCATATTACATTAGCTAACATTTACATTGCTTCGGACAAACCAACACACAGGCACTCCAAAATGCTTTGAACCGCTTGGCGATTGAGGTATCCATATATAATATGTGCTTTGCACATTCCAAGTGCAAAGTGCTTGTTCAAGATTGGCAGGAGCCTGTGCCTGCACTCACCCACTGTGGTGATCAGCTAGAAGCAGTTGAGAGTTTTAAGTACCTCGGGAGCTTGATCGCAGCTGGTGGGGGTGTTGGGGACGAGATCACATCACGAATAGCCAAAGCTAAAGCAGCTTTCGACAACCTGCGACACCTGTGGCGCCGCCATGACATCCGACTGTTCCCTAATGGTGGGTTGTACATC